TCTTTATGTCCATGCAGCAGTTAGTAAGCAGGTATATATTGGGTATGGAAAATAACATTGCACAACCTTCGAATGCCATCTTAGAGGCAACTTCCCAAGTTTGGATGGTTACTCTAAATTTCACTATTGATCCCATATTTTCCAAATATAAAATATAACTCAGCTGATGCTGGGCCTCTTTGTGTGCACTGATACATGGTTTCTCTGTGTGTCACTAATACTAACACAGCAGCAGGAATGAGACTTGGCAGGGCAACTTCCTGTGAAATTCACACAGGAAAAATGTAAACACTTTGTGAAGATCAAATAAACAGGGGCCAGATTTAGGCTGCAGCTTCCTGAACTCTTTACACCTTTATCTAGAGTTAACATTATATCCTATTACTGAAAAATGCATAGTGCAGTGCTGCATCATTCTTGCATCTAAACTTTATCCAAAATTAGGTGCCCTGTACAGAAACAAAGCCTGCCTAAGCCCTACAGTAAAGGAAAAGATTGTACAGCAAATGCTGATGCCAATCATTGATTATGGGGATGTAGTATATGCGTCTGCATCGCAATCCCACATTAATAAACTCAACACATTGTATAACTCGTTCTGCCGATTTGTGCTACAATGTAATTACAGGACCCATCATTGTGACATGCTAAAGGAACTAAACTGGCTGTCGCTGGAATCCAGACGCACCCTTCATCTTTCCAGCCTTGTTTTTAAGAGCTTCTCTGGGAAACTCCCACCCTACCTGAACAAAATGCTTTCCTTAGCTGTTCCCACTTTCTATAAGCTCCGATCCAGTACAAGCACTTTACTTAGTCTACCTCAATACAAAAAGAAAGCGGCCCGATCCTCCTTCTCCTACAGAGCGCCGCAATTGTGGAACGACCTCCCGCACAATTTAAAATCTTCCCTAAGCCTAAAGTCATTTAAGAGATCCCTCTCTACATACCTCAAAACAGAATGCACGTGTCATGGTTGATTATATATTTCCTGCCAGTTCTATGTTAAATTTTGTATATATTGTGTATTAATATTGTTTTTGTATTTTGTTGTACCTAATGTAACAATGCAATGATTTGTGGACCCAGGACATACTTGAAAACGAGAGAAATCTCAATGTATCTTTCCTGGTAAAATATTTTATAAATAAATTCTAGGATAATCAACAGCATTAATTTCTTTCCTATGAGAAAGTTTCAATTATCATACTCTCATTGATTTTGTGTCCACCATTGTTTACCCTCGGCAACCATATACCATATCAAAGAACAGTCTGTATTTTAAGGTATTCCTGTCTGCCATACGTATGAGACTGAGAAGGTTTGATAATGTTTAAAGCAGATTTAATTGTAAATTCACCTTGTAAATTCCCACTGTAGTGGCTATGGGGCCAGAAGTGCCATGTTGTCCCCTCACCCCTTCCCCACCAGAGTAATTTGTCAAATTCTTTTAGAATGGTTTGATAACTTTATTGAGATTTTCTGGCCACCCTCAGTCTGACTTCTGGATTCTACTGCATGGCCATACAGGGTAACTCTCGTTGACTAAGGGCTCTCAGCCAACATTTGTGGCAATGTATCAGGTCATGCGTAGCTCTGGGGAGACATTTAACTTATTTTGCAGGAGAAGCCATATGAGGCACAGACACCATGGGACCCAGGAAAGTTGTCAAACCTTTCTTAAATGGTCTGCCAAATTACTCTGGGAGGGCGACAGGGTACTCCTGGCACCATAAACACTACAGTGTGGTATTTATTTATTGACTGCATCTATTAATATTACATTCAAACCTATGGGTAGTAGCATAAATTGTGTTACCCAATTAGTATTGATAAAGTGTATACCTGTATTTAACAGATTATTTTGCTGGTGGGAGACCAGAAGAGGTTTAAAACGGCTCTGTCTTTTTTGTTCCCTTTTACCAGATCTTAAAGGACCACTATAGTGCCAGGAAAACATACTTGTTTTCCTGGTATTATAGTGCCCTGAGGGTGCCCCCACCCTCAGGGTCCCCCTCCCGCCCGGCTCTGGAAAGGGGAAAAGGGGTAAAAACCTACCTTTTTCCAGCGCTGGGCGGGGAGCTCTCCAATCCTCCTCGGTTCCTCCCCGTCGGCTGAATGCGCACGCGCGGCAAGAGCTGCGTGCGCATTCAGCCGGTCGCATAGGAAAGCATTATCAATGCTTTCCTATGGACGCTTGCGTGCTCTCACTGTGATTTTCACAGTTAGAATCATGCAAGCGCCTCTAGCGGCTGTCAATGAGACAGCCACTAGAGGCTTTGGGGGAAGGATTAACCCATTTATAAACATAGCAGTTTCTCTGAAACTGCTATGTTTATAAAAAAATGGGTTAACCCTAGCTGGACCTGGCACCCAAACCACTTCATTAAGCTGAAGTGGTCTGGGTGCCTAGAGTGGTCCTTTAATATCTGAGAGCCTTCTCTTTTGTTCATGATTTGTGCAGGTTCCCTTCTGTATGATTGATTTTACTGAGGGGTTGTAGGTAAACTTCACTCCTAATTGGAACAGTACCTTGCTTTAAAGTAGCACTATCACCATTTGGGACTTTGCCAAATTTGCAAAATCCAGACCTAATTCAGCTCATTTTGTTGCTTGCATTACAAAATCCAGAAACTGTTAGTGGGCCCGTATGCAGCACGATGGTTTTGTCCTGTTTGGTATGGAACCATTTGGGCGTCAGTGGATAAACCTGAAAATTTTCAATGGCTACACAAAGGATATGGGCCATTATGATCACCTTGAACAAACCAGCCTCACTTCTTCTGTAACTCGTTCTACAATGTCCTAAAATAAATTCTCTAAGATGTCTTCATTAAATTGTACATAATGTCACGGGGACTTTATTACACAGTCATGCAACAAATGCGTTATTGCGGGCAACAGCCATGGTCCTGGTAATTATAAATTGCCTCTTGTAACAGATGTTGATTTACCAAAATAGCATTAGGATTCAGGAGCTAAATGCTCTAGAAATGTCAAGAATTCAATAGGCATTTATAGTGTGTACATCTTGATAATCCTTTGTACACACTAACTTTTACAAACCTAAACAATTCTACTACACATTACGTCCTCTCATTAGTTAAACAATTATACTTCACAATTGATCTTCTTGAATATGTCAAAGAAATAGACTGCTAAGTAGCAATAACAAAAATAAAGAATTAAGATAGCTGAAGGCAAGCTTAAAATCATTTTGAAGGAGAGCAGGAAATGACTGGCAATACCAAGCTGCCAAAATGTGAACAATGGACAGATCAAAAAAGAGAAACATACTAACATAGCAAGGCTAAAAAAAGAATGGCTCAAGCGTACACAAAAACCCAAGATTTATACAAAGTGCTGAAAGCATGACTTAGTGCAGGAATATGAGTGAGTCTTATTTTTAAAAAATGCATACCGTGCTATTCACCTATACCACATTAAAAACAGTGTCTGCACTCAAAGTGCCACCCTGATATTTTAACTTAATTTTTATTTTTTTTTGCAAACCTCTCCTTAATTCTTCATGATTATTTGTTTATTGAATGAACCTCATCACTTTTCAGGCTTAAATTACTATTAATTCAAAGTCACAAAAGAAGTAACCAAACTAGATTGTGCGACTATACATTATTTAAATACCTTACTCTAGAGGTCGCATTACAGTTAGTTCTCTGAAGGATTCTCCTTACACAGATCCTCATCCAGGCACACAATCCCTGTCCATGATCTAAAAATAAAAAAAAAACTGAAAATGCAAGACAAAAATAGAGCTTTTATAGAACTTTATTGAAAAATGAATGATTCCATTACTAAAACAATTTGTTGGCACACTGCTCAGGGAAAATTTACTAATCAATGGGTCAGAAGTTACTTTGGGTTTTATTAGCACCAGTGCAACCAAATTTAGTGATAATTAAAGAAATTTGGTGAGTTCTACAGAGCTGTAACTGCTCTGTATAAGTGTTGTGATCTTGAATACTGCGCCATGTTATCTTTACTATAATGACGTGCTTGACATTTTCAAAAAGGCCATTTTTCATCAAATTTAATATATATATATATATAGAATGAAAAATCACATATAAGACTTGTGCATTGGTTTCAAACAAATTTCAATCTACCTGAATTTTGGTCGATCGACAGGTCGTTTGAATTCCGTAACTCCGAATTGCTATATGACAAAAGAACAAAACAACAGAAAAGGGTAATAGACAAGCCAGTTTGTTTTGTGATTCAGAGTACCGCCAGTGGCACCAAAATAAAATAAAAATAATTGATAGTTAAGGGATAGTCACTAAATAAAGCAAATAAATAATGGAAATAATTCAAATAAATCATAATCCAATAACCCAGGGATCAGCCAAGTGGAATACTTACAATAAACAGCCAAGTGCCATTCCATTGGGACGGGATTTGGTTAACAGAATTGTAACCGGACTTGGCTTCAGTAAAAGGGAGAGAAAATTAGCCTATCTCTATGCTGCCAAATTATTAGTAGTGTTATTGGCATATAAATACTTCCAAATTATTCCGCCGCACTTTACAATATTATAAATAGGGAAAGTTAATAAATGTCACAATTACTAAATGTTACAGGAACAATAAGTTGGTGAGGACCCTGCTCGACAGCTCGGAATCTAGAGGATGTATGTATATATATATATATACACACACTTAATTACAGGGACGGAATTCAGACACACCAAAAGCCGCATGTATGAAATTTAGTCACCCCAATGAAACACTTTTTTAAGGCCGAATACATTTAATATAAAAGTTAAACTTGATGGAAATAAGTTCTTTTTTTTTTTTTTTATTCTTTATTTTATGCGTGCATAGTGTGAACAACCATGTTTGCACTGCCACAATAGCTGGTGCAAGCAAATATGTAGACATACGATATTATTTGTGTGGCACTAAAAAACATTGCACTTTTTTTTTTTTTTATAAGTAGAACAGGTAACATATTTAGAATAAAACAAGTTTATGCGTTTCGCCATGTTGATAGATTGAGTTAGGAATTGATTGCCTATATATGAGTTAACTCGTCAGAGTCATAGTATGTCAAACTAGGTTTTCGTAAGATAGGCATGGTATAGTGAGGCATTCTTAGGAAACGATACATTAGGTAAACTTATGTGTAGTAGTATGCTTAGAGAGACTGCCTGTCTATACAGTAGTTATTCATGTTGGGATAGGGCGTGAGTGGGCCCATGTAGTGGTGTTCAGTACCACCTGCTCGGCTAGTGCGTATTATAGTGTAGCATGGCTCCTATATAAAGTTGCCAAAGGGGCATAGTGACTACAACAGTGAAATTATGGCAACTTGGGGCCTGGCTCATTATGTGGGCGTTTTGGTCGCTGGCCGCCTGTGCTGTTAGCAAAGTGATATTGGTGTCATGCAATACGAGTGAGGGATAATAGTAAAATATAGACATAATGGGGGTGAAGTGCTAGGGAGAGCAAAGAGTCAAAGTCTGCCTGAGTGAAGTGATTTGGGATTGAGAAAAGTTCTCCTTGGGTGAAGTTCTTTTTTTAACCTATAACTATGTGCCAATTTTAAGCAAATTCTCCTGGATTACACAAGTCTATCAGACATTTAGTGATAAACATTACGCCTTTTTTTTTTTTTTTTTTTAAATATATAGGGCAGAGTACCAAGAAAGCAGGGCCTCAATCAGTGATCTCCACAGACGCTCAAACATAAAGTTCCCACATTATGAAGCAGAAGCAGTGTGAAAAACGCGGCTTTTCAAGCATTTTTTTCATAAACAAAGAAGCATTTTTGATAAGTAACTTTTCAACATTCCAGCCGTTCAGCCAGTTCTAACTGCCTCTGTTTGTGCATTCAGTGTGAAGGCAGCGTATTTGGGGCCTAGCTCAAAGAAATACTGAGCCTGTTGTATTAGCTGAGCTGTTAAAACCAACTTAAAACCACAGAATGTAAAGTCATTTTTATTCCCAATAAAGGCAGAGATTTCTTGGAATAAATTTGAGATTGTGTATCTATACTGAAACACTGAAAAAAACATCACACTTTTATAATACAAAAAATAACATTTATGTCATGAGCTCACGACCTAAATGTTGCACTTTTTATTTTTATTGTATACGTAATTTGTTATATTTTCTGCATAAGTCCAGTACTTGCTGTGCAGGACTCTATACAATTCCCTCCTACAAAGAGGTATATCATTCCACTTCCCTATGTCTCTTTACCCTCCAGATCACAGAACACACCATTCTATCTCAGGGGATTCCGGTGCTTCTAGAATTGTTGCATTTCCACTATAGCACCAGAGCATATAATGAAGTGCACCTACTATATACTTAATTATTACACATCTGTAAATAAATTGCTGTGGTATTACTGGTAACAATAATTAGAGGTTCTTTTGGTATTGGTAATTATTACACAATGGAGGCACAGCCAGAGATCCATTCATCCTGCACCCTGGATACACTTGATGACAGTCCAACGATGGATGGCCACCTCACATCCCTACTTGCTGAGGAATTAGATACTCCGCAACCACCAAGTGTGATATTCTCACACTGATGTATAATATCTGCACCTTCTTCAATGCAGATTTAGCAGTTGTGAGAAACGAGATCTGTAACATCGTATACAGTAAAGATGGAAGACGAAGATGTTGCCACCATGAGCTAGTGTCAGGCCGGGACTGACCTGAAGATGACACCGTCACAGGGTTTATATGGTGTTTGGAGATTAAACTGGACGCCTTTGAGAACACTTGGAGGAAAAAATGTTTGTTTGTTTTTTACGAAAAAACAGTTTTAAATATGGCGTGACAAGACTCTCTTTCAAGTCTTACTAGCTTTCTTTTCTAAAACACCTTTGTAGGTGTACATTAGTCTGGTAACTATTGTTCCAGCTAATTAGTAGGACCCTACTAGTTTCTTGTATTAAATACTTATAGGTCCTTCACGTACCTTATGCTTCAGACATTCAGTAGACTAGAGTGTAAAGAAATCACATATAGGACTACGGTTACTTTTAATTGATTCTGGAAGAACTGGTGCTAGCTGTTCTGTTTTAATGGGCTTGGATATCATTAGTTGTACATTGCAGGGTTGTACATTGCAGGCTTGTTATGTGACTGTTTTATCACATTATGAGGTACTTGTTTATTGTCCAATAAAACAAAGTGGGCAGATGTCCCAACAATATACCACTCACGTACCCTCTGAGAATGGCTGTGCTGGGTCCAGGGGCAGGAGGTAAGTATAAAACAGCTCTCACAGCAATCAAATATATAATTTATATATATAATTTATCTTAAAGCTGTTATACACATATTTGACAAGTAAAAAACAGATATTAGTGCATAAGCCAACGGCACTCACGCACCGGTTAACTCCGAAAACCGTGATATATAAAGCACAAAACAGCACAAAAGAGTGTGGTGCACCGTTACAGACAAATATATAGTGTGTGGTAACACCAAAATAGAGACCGTAGAATAAAATTATACATATGTTAAGATATTCTTCTTTATCAGAGTGTAAATACTGCAATCCAGATAAAGATAAAATCTTCTTGATATCGACTGGTTTCGTCAGTGAGACTTTGTCAAACTGACGGTCTGCTTTACCTTGACAAAGTCTCCCTGACGAAACCGGTAGGTACAAAAGCGTTTCCAGTGGTATCCTGCAGCCTGGTTTTATTATAATTTGAGGAGAACCAACACCCTGCTGTCTTTTGATGACACTACATCTACCAGGGAGGACTCCAAACGGGATTTATGCTGAGGAACCACTGCTGTATATGGTAGAAGGGTCTTTGGACCTTCTGATGTGCCTTTTTGAACTTTATGTTTGTGAGTGGAATATTACCCCCCCCTTTTTTTTTTTTTACTATATTTGTGTGTGATTTTACATACACTATGTTGTTTTTCTATGTATTTTTATTCAAGTGATTAAATATCAAGAATGTATTATCTTTATCTGGATTGCTGTATTTACACTCTGATAAAGAGGAATATTTTAACGTATGTATTATTTTATTCTATGGTCTCTATTTTGGTGTTACCACACACTATAGATTCGTCTGTAACGGTGCACCACACTCTTTTGTGCTTTTTCGTTCTTTATACACATATTTAAGTCTGCTATGACTGGTTCATATTTAACCCCTTAAGGACACACGACATGTGTGACATGTCATGATTCCCTTTTATTTTAGAAGTTTTTTTTCCTTTTTAATAACTATGTAGATAGGCCCTCAATAGAAACATGCATGTATTTATTGCTAAATCATTTTCAATGAGAATATATCTAAAAACAGCTTGCAAAATATGTAGATCCGCTGTCTGCAGTTTTTGCAAGCCCTCATTGGTTTCCTCAGGCCAGACTGAGTCTGAAAGGACCATATAGGTGCTTCACATTGAGAAGACTCTGATTTTGAGCTGGAAGCACGAACAATCGGCTATATGACCAAGTCCTCCATGCTGAAAGTCTGTGTGTCCATGGACAGGGACAAAGTATTTTTGTTTGTTGTTCGCTGACAGGCACGCTTTTGCTTGGGGAAGGCAGGTGTTCTCTAGTCTTATCATAGTACACAAGAGTAACAAAACTACATCATCTATCTAGAGCTAGCAAAAAGAAGAAAATCTCTGACCTTCATCTATTTTCCAGAGACATATAGACTTTGAGTGGATAAAAGTACACTAGCTAATCTTATCTATAAGCACATATTATACTTTCACTTTGTTTCCTGGTAAGACCATTAGATCATAAAACCCAAGGCTTCTCACACTTTGACTGTATTGATCTTTGTCACCATCGTTTAAAACAAATCTGTTTAAACTACTAGGATTGTTAATGTAAGTGTGAGTTGACAGGATTCCACGTGATATTCAAATAGGTCAAGATGGTGAATATCAAAACAAAGCTGTTATGTTTATTCCATCTAGGTTAAAGTTTAAAATTCACTTTCAATTACCAACAAGTTTCACTTTGGTGAATGACCCAGTAAAAATTGCATTAGCGATGAGTCTTCGTCACCTCTTGTTCTTGTTTGCCATTTTCAATAGCTCATTGTAGAACACTGGAGAATCCAAAAAAAAAAAATTTTTTTTAGAAACTTACAATTATGCCACAAAAAGGGAAAAAAATCCTTCTAAACTCCATAATGGAAATTTCATCTAGAGTCAACAACCTTTTTACATACACATTAATTGATTTTAAAAATATCTATAGTGTCTGATAAAACAACCTTCTTAAGGAACATTATAGGGTCAGGAACCCAAATGTGTATTCCTGGCCCTATTGTGTTAAAACCACCATCTAGCCCCCCCTGCCCTCCCCTCGCCTCCCTAAACATAGTAAACGCTTACTTGTATTCAACTCTGTAGCTGCTGCCTCTATCTGCTGACATCATCAGAAGTGGTGGTCTGAGCCAATCACAATGCTTCCCCATAGGATTGGCTGAGACTGTCAAGGAGGAAGATCGGGGCAGAGCCAGCACAAGTCAAACACAGCCCTGGCCAATCAGCCTCGCCTTATAAAGATGACTTGAATCAATGTATTTCTATGAGAAAAGGTCAGTGTCTGCATGCAGAGGGTGGAGACACTAAATGGCAGTGCTGCTAACTCTGCAGCACTGCCCAAGGGAGCAGCTCTAGCAGCCATCTAAGGAGTGGCCAGTGGATTTATCCCTAGGCTGTAATGTAAACACTGCATTTTCTCTGAAAAGACAGTGTTTACAGCAGAAAAGCCTGAAGGGAATGATTCTCTTCACCAGAACAAATACAATAAGCTGTAGTTGTTATGGTGACTATAGTGTCCCTTTAATATTGTGGCTGATCAGTGTAGTTCCTTCCAGTCAATTTGTTGTAGAGATGTTGTATTCTGCTGAAATTAACCTTTTTAGAATTAACTGTTTTTGCAAAACACATATTTGTTTGTTTTTTAGTTCATCTCAAATGATACCATATTATGGTCACTATTTCCCAAGTGCTCCCTAACTTGAATGTTTGAAAATAGATCAATATTATTAGTTATTATAAAATCCAGACAATCATCTATTCTAGCTGGTGCTTCTACTACTTGAGACACGAAAGTGTAATTTATCAGATCTGTAACATATTTCTTCTATTAATGTATGCCTTGTTGTCTTCTAAGCATATTTTGGCCCATAACCACCCGACCATCGATGAGACAGCAAACTGCCCAGTTGAGGTGATCAGAGCGGAAGATTTAAATGATGATGCTTTATAAATAAAATGCCAATTTTGCACAAAGCCAACCACCACAATTTCTCCTACCATTGGCTTGACTTAAAAAATAAAAATGTTTCACACTTTGAACCCAACAAATTTCAAAGTATGCTGTTCGAATGCATTGCCTGACCGACCCCTGCCTATGCAGGGTAAATGCTGAATGACACTCTTTTATACCTCCAGGTTATTACATTCCTCTGGTTTTAATTTTACAGATGCACTTATATGGTGTTTCATATGCCCTTAAACAGACCTGCAAAAAAAACCTATGGGACCTGAAATATTGTTACAATTATACAGCTGTATTCTTCATGAACTTCCTCTAATGTATAACATATGACTCATTATGAATACTTATCTCAGGTAGGTTGTCTCTGGCAGTCGATAGTTTAGGATGACGTTACACTTACTGTCACCAGCTGATTACACCCATAATTTATTTATATTTGGGTTACACCCTGACATTACAACTTCATGTATCTCCTAAATGTGCATTAATCCTCTTTTTATGTGTTACTATTATTTTTTGTTATTACACAAGCTAATGCATATAAATTATATGCATTAAATAAGCACACCTCCCAACTTTTCAGACGGGCACTTTCATTTTAGCAAGTGTGAGTCGGCCAGGGGTTGGGTTGGTCTGAGAAATTTTAGGTGACTTACTAATAACAATGAATACAACTAAAATGTATCTTCTTTACAAAGACGGATAAACACATCTATTGTAATTTAAAAATGCGTTACTGTGAGTATTATTGCTCTGAAACTCTTTTACACATTCTAACAATATAGGGTTCCTAGAATAGAGGGACATTAGGAAAGAAAAGGGGGGAAATAGATATGGGCCAACAAAAGGGGCTGTCCCTCCTAAATAGGGACAGATGGGAGACATGGAAAAGGATATATAAAGTCCAAATATATTATAATGCATATAATATAATACGGACAAAAAGTACTAAGCCACAATGCGCAGTCAAGTGGCTTTTAAACTCCTTTTCAAATCAAACTCAACTAGAAAGCAAGTGGTGCTTAACAAAAATGGTATGGAGACTGGGTGGATGCCTCAGAATACAAAAACAGATTGCTTTTTCTAGAAAATAAAGGTTAAATACTAACCTTGAAGCTCAAGGGAACACTATAATGTTAAAAAGAAAAAAACATTATTTTCAAAGCTTCTTTAAATTTTTTGGGCCCCAGTTAAAGTAAAATAAAGCCTTTAAATGCATGTTTTTTTGTTTCATGGGTGCAGCAGTATCATTTCTAATATCATCTTCACAGTGCAGTTAAGGAACCAAAGCATTATTAACTTCACTGTGATATCTACTTAGAGGGCTTCTCTAAGAGAAGCATTTGATTGGACCATGGAGAGAAAGTGGAGTGATGCGAGGTAAAAGATGTGTACTGGATTCTTCTAGATACCAAATATATGGCCCCATGGGACTTCAGACGCTTTAATCAATCCAATGAGATTAAATGATTATAGTGCCTAGAGTGTCCCTTTAATCTCTCTCCCTTATAAATCTGTCAGCTGGTATGGGAGGCATGCTAGTTGTTCATTGCTGGCTTTAAAATACTACCTGCATAGTATCTATGTCAGGTAAGAGTTGGTTGCTGACATCAGATTTCTATAATCATGGTAAAGCTTTAACCTCCTAAGGTCGGAGAAAATTGTACAGATTTTGAACCAAAACTAAATCTGGAATTTGAGCTTTATGTCTGTTCAACCATAATTTACCTCTTTCATAGCCTTATTATATATAATTTTGTTCAGGAGAAATAGGGCTTTCGTTTCACAGAAGATTTTTATATATGAAACACTATTTAATATGAATTAAATCATAAAGTGTGAGAAATTAAGAAATGTTGGGCAGTGTTATGCCATGTAGTGTGGTCTAGATATGTGCCGTCCTAATCAGCCCTCGCGTGTGCAGGTCGTGTGCCTTTGAGGACAGTGTGAGGCATTACAAGCGGTAAGCAAAACACAAAATTAAACAAATGAGTAATACAAACTAAAACAGAGCTTGACTTGTTGGGGTGTCTCATATGAAAGTTCCCTCATGGTTCCGCTGGCTGTGAGCTCGTAGCCCTTGGGACAAAGGGTGTTATTGATGCGGGGCCCCAAGATTCCACCGGTGTTCTTAAGGTTGAGGGTGCGTTCGGGTTTAGCAGTCCCAATGCTCTTAAAAAAGTTGGGGCTTCTTCCATGGAGGATAGAACATGCAAAGTTCCATCTTGAGACACAGCTAATGAGCCATTCACTCCTCATCGGTATGCAATTTTTGCTGCCCTCAGCTGGGTCGTGACTGGTCCAAAGGATTTGCTTAGAAGGAGGATGGCCCTCGTAAAGTCCCGGTAGAAGGTGATTGTCTTCTTTTAATGCAGATATAATTTAGAGTTTGTCCGTTAGGGTGATGCATCTGAGAATTACGTCTCGCTCCAAAGCAGTCTCGAGAGACGGTAGACACTGTCGATGGTTATTTTCTTGGCCACTGTATGAGGCAGAATAGTAGCCAGCATTCTCATGATGTTATCCACGGTATGTCAAGCGATTTTGTACTACAATCATGTCTTCCTCAGTCACTCTAAACCTCCTGCACCTCAGTTTTTAGAAGTGTGAAGTCTGTCACCTTTAGTTTGAGGATGTCTGCTAAAAGGAGTTTTAAGCCCCTTTTGGTGGTTGGTGCTGAGTCGTCCGATAGCTCATGTGGCTCAGCCTGAGAGACTAGTGAGTGCTGTGAGCCCTCCGGCCTGGACATGCAGATCTTCCGCGGGAGTGGGTCTGGGTTGAGCGGGCCTTTGCAGCATGGCCCCCATATCCCTTCCCTCCACCTGGGTTTGTGGTTTTTGAGAGTGCCGACCCATGCCTGGCTTATGTGCTGGTAATGCAGTTGGTGTTGGGGTGTGTGGGATCTCGGCACTATTTGTGGCAATGCCTCCCAGGAGTTCTTCCAGGCCTTGAAGCGTGTGGGAGGCCCCAGGTCTGTGCTTCCGTCGGGATGGCTTTGGAACCAAAAAGAAAGGCATCTAGCAATGCTGTGTGCCCCTCTGAACCTGGCTATGTAAGTGTGGTGGCTGGATTGTGCTGAGGTTCGCAGATATCAGCGAGATTAGAGGAAAGATTGAGGAGCCGTTGGAAATGGCGTCCGGTCAGGACTGTTGACAAGCTCCGCCCCATAATGTTAGTTTTAACTGCAATAAAACACATATTCGTGAACACTAATGTCTCAACAGTACAACAGTAAGCCACATGTATAGGTTTTCTGGGGTTTTGGAAAGTTAGAGTCAAATATAGGGCTTACAAATTAAATTTTCTGTACTTTCTGATTAGATTGTTAAGCTGGTCCCTCAATATATAATTATTGGATCGGCTGGATTGGCTGCAGGGGGACTGCCTCGGTTGTCATGCAGCCCCTCCCCACCCCTTGATCAGATCCGGCAAGGAGGGCAAGTATTCTGGCTACAGAGAAGGCCCGATAGTTATAGCATGCTATGCTGCCCTAATGGCGTTAAAGCCCTCCTTTTGTAGGATAGCATAGCGCCCTCTAACGTTGGGAAAGGGTTAAACAGAAAAGATAGAAGTTGTGGAGCTACTGGTCCATTTTTAATCTGTAAATATACAGCAGCACAGTCTAAATGTTTAATTTGACTCCTTACAACTACAGGTTACAGTTGTGAGAAAATTACAGAAGTCAGAATTCAAAGTAAAGTTCAAATTTAAGTTGCTAACAGATTTTTTGTTTTCCAGCTTGGCTGAATTGACCATAAAATTTTAAATAACTTTGAATTCTCACATTTATGAATAACCCTGTTTCTTTCAAAAGGTGGACAAAAAGAATTAAAAAAAAAAAAAGAAAGAAGACGAAAAATTATTTCATGGCTGGAAGGCAGACGCTTTGTAATGTTTCCACTGTACAGTGGAAGCAAAATAACATCTGCATGAAAACAGACATAGAAACATAGAAACATAGAATGTGACGGCAGATAAGAACCATTCGGCCCATCTAGTCTGCCCAAAGACTGATAATCAATCAATAGTCAGTTCCATCAATAACAGCATGAACCAACTATATTCATGATGTGCTGAACGGTTCGCCGAACGGTTCGCCATGGACTCATCATTGAGTAAACGTTGACCCTGTACCTCACAGTCAGCAGACACATTCCAGCTAATCAGCAGCAGACCCTCCCTCCCAGACCCTCCCACCTCCTGGACAGCATCCATTTTACATTCTTTGTGGAGCTGCATTCTTAGTGAGCTGTCCAGGAGGTGGGAGGATGTGGGAGGGAGGGTCTGCTGTTGATTGGCTGGAATGTGTCTGCTGACTGTGAGGTACAGGGTCAAAGTTTACTCAATGATGAGTCCGTGGTGAACCGTTCGTGGCGAACCGTTCGCAAACCGTTCGTCGAACGGTTCAGGACATCACTATTCTCTAAATGTTTGCCTATATAAAATAAGTATTTTATAGATTTGCATACAATAATGGTATTTGTATTTTGACCCTTTCACAGTCAACGTTTATGGAGCTAGTCACGATTTGGTTATTTAGGTCTAAAATAGCCAGGTTACTCTCTTTTTATGATTATTAGTATTAATATAGCGCCAAATTATTCCTCAGAGTTTTAAAATTAAAGGACCACTATAGGGCCAGGAACACAAACATGTATTCCTGACCCTATAGTGCTAAAACCACTATTTAGCCCCCTGACCCCCTCTTGTCTCCCTGAGTATAGTAAAATATTACTTGTATTAAAGTCTGAAGCTCCTGGCTCTGCCCCTGTTTGCCTGGGAACTGCCTCTATCTGCTGACATCATCAGAAGTGCTGGTCTGAGCCAATAACAGAGGCAGATCAGGTGCAGAGCCCTGGCCAATCAGCATCGCCTCATAGAGATTACTTGAATCAATGTATTTCTATGAGAAAAGGTCAGTGTCTGCATGCAGAGGGTGGGGACACTAAATGGCAGTGCTGCTTACTCTGCAGCACTGCCCATGGAAGAAGCTTTAGCAGTCATCTGAGGAGTGGCCAGTGAAGTTATCACTAGGCTGAATGTAAACACTGCATTTTCTCTGAAAAGACAGTGTTTACTGCAAAGAGCCTGAAGGGAATGAGTCTACTCACCAGAACAAATTCAATAAGCTGTAGTTGTTCTGGTGACCATAGTGTCCCTTTAAAGAAAGGCTAAAACAAGTTTACAATCTACGTTAGGCGGATATATATTGTTAGGTATCTCGCCAAGGACAGTATGCGAAGTTGGTCTGACTGTCATTCAAACTTTAGTTTCCCAGTTCTAAAGCAGACATATTACCACTGCTCTAACCACGACAACCACCTCTGCTTTTAGCTTGAAATGCTGCAGATATGGAATAACCTGCACTTTTGGGCCCTGCCTAATGTGAATTCTGTGCAATAAGTATGTGTGTAACACACTAGTGAGTAATAAGCTTTTCGCTTGCAGTCAGCATGCCTTTCCCTGCACTTAGAGAGCACACATGTGCTCTGAGCCAGTGAAATGATCCAGCCAAATGCATTTCTATGAGAATCATTTGACTGGATCACAAGAGAGCCCCGGTGAGGAACTTAGCCCGGCGCTGGATTCCAGGTATGTTAAGAGCTTTTTTTCATGTTTATAGGGGGCACCCAATGAATAATGCCCAATATTTTTTATTTTTTTTTAGAATTGACCATTTTTTATTTTGATAAAAATAGACATTGGAAGGGGTACAGAAAAAAGAAAAAGGGGAGGGAAGGGTAGGGGAAATGGGTTTACAATGCATTTTGTTTAACAATTTCTAGACATTGTCATGTGAGAAAAAAACAGCTTAAATCGTTTCCCTGAGCATGGCTTGCATAATCACATTGAAGGCTTTTTCAGGTTGTGAATACATTGTCTCCCATGTAATTAAACACAGTGTAACAGACATACATTAACATAAACTTATTTACAACGGATGGCAATTACTATGATTGTGGCTGTTGTGAGCACCTGTTGCTCAGGGGGCTTCACTCTGGGGACGTTGACTCGGTGGCTGGGTATATTTCTGTTGGCTGTGTAGTGTGTGGGGTATGTAGGGTGGGCTGTCCCCGGTCAGGGGGAGGTTGAAGTCTGTATCTCTGCCACATATCATACATGCGTGTAATTGAGTTCCCTGTGTTCATGTGGGATGTTGCAAATCGTTTGTACGCTACATTTGTGGTAATCAGGTCTATCAGCTCTTCCCCCGTTGGGGTCGAGTCAGACCTCCAGTGTCTGGCAATTAACGTTTGCGCTGCTATCACTATTAGAAATATTAGTTTTCGGGAGTGCTTTGGAAGGTTAAGTGGAGCTATGTGCAGTAAGTAGGCCTCTGCTGTTAAGGGCACCTGAGACTTTGTGCTGTGGTTGACCATCTCCCCCACCATTTTCGAGTAAGGTTGGATAAGTGGACAAGTCCACCATATGTGAAACGTGTCTCCGGGAACACCATGGCATCTCCAGCATTTGTTACTAGTAGAGTGATACATTTTAGAAAGCTTGTTTGGTGATGCCCAGTAGTTTTTAAGGGCCACAGTAGCCCTTTAACTCCTTCGAGATGTGAAGATGTGCTATGCCGTCCTACAAAAGGAGGGCTTTCATAACGTCAGGTCGGCATAGCACACGCTAACGATCTGGCCCTACCTCCGGCAGCAATACTTAAAGGACCACTATAGTGCCAGGAAAACATACTCGTTTTCCTGGCACTATAGTGCCCTGAGGGTGCCCCCACCCTCAGGGTCCCCCTCCTGCCCGGCTCTGGAAAATGGTTTAAACTTACCTTTTTCCAGCGCTGGGCGGGGAGCTCTCCTCCTTCTCTCCTCCTCCGTTCCACCCCATCGGCTGAATGCGCACGCGCGGCAAGAGCTGCGCGCGCATTCAGCCGGTCACATAGGAAAGCATTCATAATGCTTTCCTATGGATGCTGGCGTGCTCTCACTGTGAAAATCACAGTGAGAAGCACGCAAGCGCCTCTAGTGGCTGTCAATGAGACAGCCACTAGAGGATTAGGGGGAAGGCTTAACCCATTAATAAACATAGCAGTTTCTCTGAAACTGCTATGTTTATTAAAAAATGGGTTAACCCTAGCTGGACCAGGCACCCAGACCACTTCATTAAGCTGAAGTGGTCTGGGTGCTTAGAGTGGTCCTTTAAATTCCACTGCAATCGCAAAACATGCCTGACAACTCAGGCAGCCAATCCATGTCATGAGATTGCGGTGTCACTGCAATCACAAACAAATAATGTAGTCTGCAAGCTTTGAAATTGCTGTTTAGTAGATGAGCGAATGCACTGGATCTTGTGAATTGTTTGAATTGGCCACAGCAGCACCCCAATGCATGTTCAGGTGAGTGCAGCCCCCTGGTTTCATGTATATATATTTGTGAGTATAGGTCAACTCCTTGGTTTTGCACACCTCCCTGTCACAGGTGCCTCATTCCATATACCAGGGGTTCTCAACGTTAGTCCTAAGGACCCCCTACCAGTCCATGGTTTAGGGATTACCTGGGCGTGTCTAAGGTGTTTAGAAAAAGAAAAGAAAAACACCTTAGAGTCTAAGGTGTTTTTTTCCCTTTTTCTAAACACCTGAGACACACCCAGGTAATCCCCAAATCCTGGACTGGTAGGGGGTCCTGAGGACTGGGTTGAGAACCCCTGCCATATACTGTAACTAAACCCCATTATTTATGTCTAGATTAGGTGTTTAATCCCCCACACCCAAAAAAAAAGATTAAAATCTGTGAGCTTTGATGATGCTGTTTAGTGAATGAGTCAGTGCGCTGGATCTTGTGTATTGCATTGATATAGATATATATATATATATATATATAAATATATATAGTGGCAGTGTGAAGGAACACTGCTATATTAGCCCCAGAATGGCACTTTTAGTGTTCCCTGACTAGAGGGGGTTAAAAATCAGGTTGCTCTTGTAGATCAATTAGGGAGCTGCACAAACCCTATGCAGAGGGAAATCAGTCTCTCCTGTGAAGAGCTGGGGTGGAGACAGAGAGACTGAGTCAAAGAGACTGCTGAAACTGTGTGGAAAGTAAAGGTATTTTGCAA